ATATCTTTAAATATATAAATTATATTTTATATTTATGATAAATAATTTAAATTATGTCCTAAGTTTATTTTTATTTATTGATAATTTATTTTAAAATATTAAAATTTAATTTATAAATAATTATAATAAATACAAATCAAATTAAATAAAAATTTAAAATTTTCCAAAAAAAAATGAAGTTAAAATAATTCCTACAAACCTTCTTATAAAAAAAAACTTAAAAATATTCTCACATAAGATAAATTTTACTTTTTAATATATAAGGGTTGATTTCTATGTAGATAGCATTTCATTTGCATCCACTAGAAGCATAATGTGTAAACAAGTTATTAGTGAGATATGCAAGGGATACTCTATTATTAATAAACTTCTTTATTATTGGTTAAAAATCACACGTTATGATAGGTTTTATACCACTAAACTAAAAGAGAGATTTGTTAAATGAGATTAGAGATTCAATCAAAACTTGTAATTTTTAATAAATTTAAACTAATGATAAAGATAATATTTAGTATTAGAACTCTTCATCTACAATAATATAAAATTTGTGGAGCCATACTTGTTACAACATACACCATTTGATTATTATTAAAATACATATATATAACATAAACATCAACTAATATAAGTAGTTATCTTAGTTATTTTATTGATTTTATAAAATTCTAATATACTAATTTTACCTTACTTATCATTAGATTGTTATAAGAGAAGTAAAAATATTATTTCATATTAAAGTTTATGCATCAATACTAATAAAATTAATAAATAACAATTGATTCAAGAAGAGAGAGAACATTTATTTATCAAAATCTCTTCTCACTATTAACAACAAACACATTCACATAATCTTCATTTGCGATAAAAGATGAAAAATAAAACTAATGTTTTATAGAAATTGTGAAATGATTTAAAAAAAAAAATATTTTTCTTCTAAATTGTGATTTGTAACAAAGATAGGAGAGAGTAATATATGATGACTCCACTTTTTTTAAACCACTTTCTTTTATCCTTCTCCCCTCACTTTTTTACATTTTTATCCATAAAAACATGGCCTCACCCCTGGTATTGATAAAAAGAAAGCAAGTGGTCAACCTCACTTATCATTAGATCTACCAATTTTTCTTCCAAGGAGATAATCAATGGCACGCCTAAGCGACTAAGTGGGTGATTGTATAGCCGTTCATCACTTGTTGAATGAGTTTTTTTTTCACTTTCCAATGTAAAAAACATCAAAATAAGTGGTGGGTTATTTTTTATTGAGTTCATCGTTCATACATTTTCAGTGTAAAGTTTTTTATACTGACAACTAATTATATCTTTTAAATTATTTTATTTTATTATTATTTTATTAAATAAGCAACTGACATGACACTGTTAAAAGATATGATTGATTGTCAGTGTAGAAAAACTTTATACTGACAATGTATAGGTGATTAACTCTTTTTCATTTTCATTCAACCTAAATGTAAAACAAGCACACCCTAAACCTTTGTTTGGTTGATGGAAAACAGGGATGAAAAAAAAAACTCTCATGGACAGATTAAATTTGTAACTTAAATAATACTCGCAAATAATTAATACAAGTTTTTCCTTATTCGTTTATAAATAAAGAGCAAATATGATAATATTCATATTCATAAGTATTCGTTGAGTAATATTACTTAAATATTTATATATATATATATATATATATATATATATAAATATTTATAAAAATGAGGAGTTTACTATCTATCCCAATAGAACTCCATTGTCATTCTTAATGGAAACTAAAAATTATTTTTATTTGAATTAAAAATAAAATAAATTAGAAAAATATATAAGAGGGAAGTAATCAAAGAAATAAAATAAAAATTTACTTTGGTTATAAATTTTAAAGACATTATCGTATTGATCTTTGAAACTAAGAAATTGTCAAATAAATTTCTAAAATATTAAATAAATTTCTAATATATAAGAGGGAAGTAATCAAAGAAATAAAATAAAAATTTACTTTGGTTATAAATTTTAAAGACATTATCGTATTGATCTTTGAAACTAAGAAATTGTCAAATAAATTTCTAAAATATTAAATAAATTTCTAATATATAAGAGGGAAGTAATCAAAGAAATAAAATAAAAATTTACTTTGGTTATAAATTTTAAAGACATTATCGTATTGATCTTTGAAACTAAAAAATTGTCAAATAAATTTCTAAAATATTAAATAAGATCTTTAAATTTAATTACTTATTATCATTTGGTTTCTAAATATATATCAATATGATCATTTTAATTACACATATTTTTGAGTTATGAACTAATATGATTGTAAATTTGCATTTTCAATAATGTATTTAACATTTTCTTAGTTTCAAAGTTTGATATGACAACATCTTCTATATTCAAGGACAAATTTGAGTGTTTATTCCAAAAAAAAAAAAAATAGGAAGGATAGATAGGCGTGGCAAGGGAGTAGATTTTTCTCTCCTCATTTGTGTAAAAGGTAAGTAGGGTTGATTTGAGTTTAAAATAGGCGAGTTTATATTTTTAAAAATTCAACTTCATCTCGGTTGAGTTTTATTGGGTTCAAGTATACACATAAAAATTCATCACATCTTATTTATTTATATATATATATATATATATATATATAAAATTATAATAAATTAAATTTCAAGTTATTAATTATATTATAATGTAAGTAATATATAAAATTAATAAATAAAAAAGAACTTAGAAATAAAAAATTTAAGAATTAAATTATATTTTTAGTTAATCGTATAATTTTGAGTTTGTTACTTTATTATTTTTTCAATTTAAGTTGTTTAATTATTAAAATAATTAATTTATATTTTTAATAATTATAATATATATATATATAACAAAACTTTAACTTCAATTTATATATATTTTGTTGTAACAAAACATTATAAAATAATGTAGTCTCTAGAATTAGAGACTTTATCTAAATCCATAATATAACTCGATTTCTGAAGTATGAAAAACATGTAATTAGACCTATATCTAGTTAAAGGGATTTTTCCTTCAAAATCAAGTCGAGGTCGAACAAGTACCTGTGTGTGAGAGTTTAATGTTCTATAGACCAATGATCTTATTACTTTGGGCTTCATTGAATAATTTTTTTTCAAAAACACTTTTAAGAGAGAAAAATAAGTTTCTCCATAAAGGCTTCTAAAAAAAAGGAAGAAAAATCAAAATAAATTTTTCTATAAGCTAAAATTAACTTATACACAAATTAAAAATGAAATTTTAGAGAAGCTAATAGAAAAGAAAACTATTACAAAATAACTTATGTATAAATTAATTTTAACTTAAGAAAAATCTTATTTCTTATTTCTTTTTTTATTTTGCTTTCTTATAAGCACTTTTAGGGAAATTTACACAAAACAAACTCTTTATCAAATACTTTACCATTTTACTTTAGAGAATTTGCACTTTTTTCAAAGATGCATCTGCAAAATAGTTGATGCTAGTGATGCATATGCAAGAATCCGATGACCATATAATGATGAACCAAAGCTGATGACAATGATGGTCGGATAATGGATTGTGTTAGTGGTGGGGGGACATGTTAGGGATGAATTATAGGGATCATTTTATATATTTTAAAATTAAATTTAAGGCTTATTATGTAAATTTTT